AGAGAGGCGTCGGCTGCTAATGGGCTGAGAGTTTCTCTAAGAGCGTGACCAAAGGAAAATATGTTGAGATTTTCATACATATTTTACACAGTTTTTGATGATATTACACTTTAAAAAAATATTTTTTTGATGTTTTATTATAGGTATGATGAATTATGGTCATTGGAGCAAAAAAATGCAAAAAGAAGCGAATTTGGAGTAAAAAAGACCAAAATATTAAGAATTGAACTAGGGCGCCAACGACGAGAATTTCCCGAGACTCCAGCCAAATATTTTAGAAGGCCCGCCGACGGCGCCCTCGAGGCCGCCGACGGCGGGATGGGCGGTATTCAAAAGGTGCATTGAATGTGGACGATTTTTGGAGGGATGCTTAGTCAACTCTTGGAAAAACTCTTCTACAACTTTAAAAGAAGATTTTGGCCAAAAAATGAAGAAGAGTTCGAGGAGTTTGAAGGTTCAAATAGCTTCCAAGCTTTATAGATTCAAACTTTATTTGATTAAATGAACTAACTTTGGAAATTCCCAATTTTTTACTAAAATAATTACATAAATTAAAATAAATATATAAAAAATATGATTTCTTCTCTGGTATTTCTATTAACTCGAGAGAGATAGGCCAGCAAGGCTTTCAAGCCCATATAAATTAATTTAGAATATTTATGAAGATAAGTGCCTTAGGGCTAAAATTGTAATTTCCACATTTTCACCCCTAATTAAATTTAGGATGGGTTAAAAGCTTAAAGGGTAATATTTTGACCCTAAGCAACATTCTAAGGTGATTAAAACATAAGAGTAAGAGGTAGAAACCAATCAACCTTCGCTTTTAGAAAGAAGGGTATAAGTGCAGTTTTCCTAATTGTTAAACATTGGAAGAAGTTAAACTGAATGATCTAAATATTTGGGACATAAGTCAGGAAGTCAATAATTCACTAAACCTAGAGTCCCAAACCAATGTGTGAGTTACAGGTTGATCTTTTAATTAAATGTTCTTAATATGACATTTTCTAAAATTACACATCCACCGCTAATGACTTAAGAGCTTTGTAGTGAGCTGAGTTTAATCTAAAAATACTTAATGGTTAGTTGAGAAATAAATAATAATTAATCATTTTTAAACACTATAAGCTCAAACTTGCTTATCCCTCTTCTTATGGGTTAATTGAGGTAGAGAACCGAGCACGCCCTAAACCGAATGAACTTTGGGGTGACCCATTCAACAACATAATAAGTTGAAGTGAACTTGAAATCGTTTAAAGAATTCTTAAAAATTTGTTTAGGGTTATGCCCCAAACACTTTTATAAACTTTTGGATATTTTGAAGAACAATTGAACTTATTATGTTTTATTCACAAAAATCATCCTTAACCAAGTTATGAATTGTAGTCTCTTTTAAATTTAAATCATTAAAGTTTCATTAATATTTAACTATTGTTCTAACTTTACACTTTTAATATATACATGATTATAATGCTAAGATTTTAGCTCGAGAAGCGAGAAGATGACATGTACGTATTTACAGTTTATTTAGTGTCATTTTATCACTGTAATTTCCCACTATTTTAATATGCATGCTTGGTTGAAACAATTTTCAAAAGTCAAAATGAATAATTTTTAAAATCAAGATAAACTTTTTAAAAAAAATTAGCCGTAAACATTTTCAAAACAATCAAACGAACATAATACACCCTTTTGAATTTACGGGAGTCCTTCGGATGAGGTGACATACAGTTGCTAACGAGATCTTCCTAGTTTAAATAAACTTAACAACTCATTTATGCTAAGTAAATTCAAAAGAAAATAGTGGTACCAAAATAAGGGAACCGTGAGATCCTAACCGGTGTCGCTCTAATCAACTTTAACCCCCCACAACACTTGAACGATAACAAACATTGTCAAGAAAATTATAAAACCTTAAAACTTGAACCTGAAGCTATCACTTCGACGAGGAGTTTGGAGCTAACATCGTGGGTAGCATGACAAGAATGTACAAAAGAACAACTTTGAGAGAGCAAGCATATCTATAACAACTAATCTTTCCTTTGAACTAAATAACAAATCATATGACTTCGAGGTAACCCGTTTAGTATGACATAAATCCTCGACTTATCTTTAGGCATTTGCACAACCATGTTGTGCAATTTAAGCCCTAACTCACTTTAGGCTCCAATGTTGTCGCTCGTTACGACATAAACCCTCCTATCCTCCATGCTATTTGCATGACCATGATATGCAAGTGTAAACCCTAAATAATAAAACCACCTATGGCTAGACCTAGGCTACTAAAGAAGTTTCTAGACCTCAACCAAAAGTGAGGTCAACAAAACCCTAAATAATAAAACCAGTGAGATGAAAAATCAAATAATATTTTTTTTTTCAAATTTAAAGCCAAACTGTCGGATAGTTTGAGAAGTCACCGAGGTTCCCGTCAAATCAGTAACATCTCAGACTTTTTATTCCTTAAGATTCCTAAAAGTAAATGCTCTTATTTGATCCATTTCATTTTGAAATTCCAATGTCCAATCTTGAAACCTTAAACTTTGAAATTCTTAAAAGCAAAGCCACTGATCTAAATCGAGAGTATTCTTCAACGACTTCGATCACTTAAGATGTAATTAACTATAGGGGCTTGCTGCTATAGAAAAATTTGAAACCAAACTTAATATAAACCCTATTCAATCTTCTATATTAAATATGAAAACTTGACAGTCAACATAAAAAGATTTTGCAGACAAAAACTGATGTCATAAATTATATAGTTTATTTAATCAAGTCTCACTATCAAATAATGTGTCTATTCCCTGGTAATTATCAAGTAATGTGTCTATTCCCCGATATAGGTACATCACTTGTGGTTTGAACGGTCTATTCCCCAGTATAGGTACTCATGATTTTAAAGTGTAAGTGTGAGTGTGTTATTCTTCCCATGCAAGGTCGTAAGTATAAAAGAATCATAATGAGTTTCACTTATTGGTGGGAGTGAAGTCTATAAGTCCCATATTATCTTATTAGAATACGCTCAAGCTCTCTATTTTTATAGTTTGTGGTCACTGCAGTTTAAGTTTTGAGACTTCATGTTTGTTTCTTTATATGGGATAAATTCTCATCTTTAGGTATTTCCACTAGCTCATATTATTGGAAAATAAACCACAATAATATGAACAACTTAAATTAAACATCAATCTCAATTTTCAAAATATAAAGTCCAATTGTCCATGCCATAAAATAGTCTCAAACACTGCCAAACTTTTCAATATCGTGCACTTCATACCCTTTCTCCATATTCTTATGATAATAACTGCTAAAAATTTGTTCCTATGTCAAATTGAACTTCCAAAATATCAATATTGAAATTTAAACTTTGAAATCTATAGAAAAATAAACTGTTATTTTAATCAACAGTTTCTCCAGAAGATGATTTCTTCTATGTTGTAATTAGCTATAGAAGCTTGTCCTTATAAAAAAAACATATAAAAAAAAAATAAAATACACCATGTTATACCAAAATATAGGGTTAGGAAAAAAACTTCTGAGAACATAGACTCCAAGTCTTGAAATCATCATCTTGTGATTCAATATATTATTGAGCAGTATTTTTGTCTTTCACGTTTCAAGATGAATGAGAAGTTTCGAACTCGTACTGGTCCACATACCCCCTTTAAAGCAAGGCATGCATAAAAACAAACCAAATTAGTTTTTAAATATAAAATATAAATAGGAATGTGTCATATATATATAGTAAAAAAAATAAAAAAAATTCAAGTACAAAGTAATCATTAATAGCCAAAAAAAAATAATGCTAATAAAACAAACTTCTAAAAAATATAATGAACAAGTTTAATTGTGTTAAAATTTTCATCAGCTAATATATTTATAGTTCATAAAAAGTTTTTTATTGTTATAAGGTATTTCAAATTATTATCTTTATTTGAAGATATAAATTTAAATAGCCTTAAAAATAGAGACAAAGCTTATGATTTAAATATTTAAATATTGTTTTTTTTTATATTTTTACTATTGAAAGATATTATAACAAAAATATTTTATGTCCCTAAGAAATAACATGAATAAGAGAGACTTTGGAAAAGTAATATTAATAATCTATAAAATAGGCTATTACATCAAAAAATTAGGCTCTAACCATGTCATAAAAAGGAAAAAAATATAAAAGCAATAGATTGGAAATATAAAATTTTTTAATAATAAAAATTTTGAGATAAGTTGAAGTTGAAGTTATTTTAAAATGTATGTAATATAAGGAAGTAGATGACTAAAACATTTTAAGATTATCATTAATATATGTTTTTCCTTTTAAATTATTAGAAAAATTACGAACATACCAAACATTTCTTATATATTTATATATCTAACACTTGAATTTAATATTTACAGATATATAACATTTTGATATAAAAAATGTAAGCATAAAAATATAAATTTCACTTTTAAAATAATATTATTGTGTTGTTTTTACCATGATTTTAAAAATTTGAATGATATACATCCAATGATCAAAATTAGGGTATGTTTGGGGCAGCTGCAGCTTATTGTATAATCTGCTGATAAGCTGATTAAAAATAATATGCTGACAAGTTAGGAGCGGTGACTATTATAAATTTTTATTTTTTTGAAAAGTCAGATTGCTGTCATAAAGCTCACGTGCAGCGTGAAATGCTGTTTTCAGTGTTTTCAAAACGCAGATCTATTTTCAAAACTCCACCGCATCAAATAAGCTGCGTCAAACAGACCCTTAATTGATTGTATATGTAAGCATATAAGTGTTGTATGACATGTACTTAAATGCTCTTAAATTATATAATAAATTACGAAATTAAATAATATTAAAATATTTGAGGCGGATTCTTTGAGTGACCATATGCTTTCCTCTGGGAATGCGTTCCATCTTTTCGGGGTAAGGATCGGGGAACAGAAAATGGCGACCTCTGTTCCTCAGTCCATTGACGTTAGTGCGATGGCAGCGGCCAATGCGGCGGCGGGCGGCGGCGCCGGCCGCCATAGGCTCATCTCCGTCCGCTTCGAGTTCCTTTTTATTTGCAGAGCAAACCAACAACCTCCGTCTCATGGCTGTTTACGATCGCATCTCCCATTACATGAGCGGCGGCGCCCGCTTAGAAACTTCCGATGTGATCCGACTCTGTTACTCCTTCGCCAAGTAGGCAACTCCACTTCAATACGCCCTTCGGACGCGTTTGTTGATTGTATTTTGATGGCTTGTTCACGTTTCACTTGCAAACCCTAGATTCCATTGCCTCTTAGCTGCTGCATCACGTACTTTATGGGTATTCCTTATTGTGGATGTCTGTTTTCTTGCTTGAAGTTTGTGGGTGTTTTCTTATTATTTGTGCTTAGGTTCATCATTTATGCACATATGGTCTTTATAGAAGTGAAAATGATGACGTAATGAAGATTCTTTATTGGTATATATTTTGCGTGCTAGAAATGAATTTTCAGAGTCAGTTTAGTTTGGGCAGACGGATTACCTTCAGCCTGATATTATATCCATTACCCAATGAACTGATACAAAATCCAATAGCCGTACCAAAAGATTATATCTCAGGAAGATCCTATGTTCCCCAACTTATTGATCGAGCTCGAAGATGAATAAGATCGAAATCACCTCAATAAACTTATAGCTTTGGGATGAAAGTTTGTGCTTGCTTGTGAGAGAGCCTTGGTGAAGGGTGCGAAGGATGGATGACTGAGAAATATTGTGTTTGAGTTTTGTGTTGGACTGAATGGCCATGATACCAGAGTAATCCCAAACCATGACGGGAACACATATTTTATTGCTGAAAAATAAGAAGGGATACAACAATGACTATTAAAACAAGAATAAAGTGACAACGAATACCAAAGACCTCTAGAGAGGACAAAAAAGTGATGGGGTGCTGTTGGACAACATATTGGTGGGCTAGTTGGGTGTGGCAGCCTATAATAGAGGGCTGGAGGGGCTGCGACAATAACACAGGAAAACAGTTGGGTGTTTGCAGTTGGCTGCAGAGTGGAACGGGGTTGGGGTTGGCTGGGGAGTGGGGATTTGCGGTTGGCTATAAGCTGGTTTGGGGAGATGCGGGAGTTGTGGGTGGTTGCACCAAGGAAGAGGGTTTGGACGACAACAACAAGGGGGAAGGATAGGTACTGCAGGGGGTGGTAGAAGGGCTTTAGGGAGAAAAATGGGAGGGCTATTTCTGGTGGTTTGCAAGGTGTGGCGAGGACTGCAGGGGAGGCCAAATTGCGGGGATGGGAAAGTCAATGATAATCATCACCACATAGCGAGATATAACCGAAACATTAATCGTTTTCGGAGACAACCCTAAGAGGAAAAATTGGGGATGTTAACGACTATCGTGACAGAAATCACAGCAAAACTGAATCCTAAAACTAAAAAAGAACACATAAATACTGGTAGATAGCTGGGAGAGGTGAGAAGCCTTCCTATTTTAGTGGCAACCCTCTTTCCTAGGTTTGCCGACCCTAATTCCATCCCAGTTGAACCCCAGCTGAACGACCTAATTTCATCCTAGTTGAACCCCAACTGAACCAATCTGGTTTAGCCAGGAAACCTCGTGTCAGACCATCAATTAAGGGTATTTTGGTCCTTTGATTGACCAAAGATTGGAGAGCCAGTCACATAGACTTTGAGACCTGTGTAGGACCGGCATACCATAGCGATATTGGATGACTTGATGAAAGATTAGTTACGAGATTATCATTCGTAGAGATTTTAATTAGATGATCAGATTCGTAACTATTGAACTAAGATCAGTGCTTAAGGGGATCTGAATTGAATGCATGAATTTATGCACTAATTTTAAAATTAGTGCCAATGTGATGCACTCTATTAAGTTTGGTGAGTTGGCTGATATAAATCTCACTGCTACTGATTGGTGTAGATGTTAGAAGGTTTGTTATTTGATTTGAATTTCATTGTGCGAAATTTTTTTAAGTACAAACTTTGGCATCCCTGAAGAAATTTTTTCAATTATCCAAGAGTTATTTGTAGTGTCATATCAAAATGAGTGCCGAATGATAGGATAATTTGTTATAACTAGCAAATGCTAATACAGTTGCTGTCTTTATTTGATTCACAAATGCATACTTGAGGAAAGGTATTGAAGTTTTTTGCTGGCTGGAAGAACTGAAGAAAGCCTTAAGGTTTTATATCCTTTATGAGAAATTTTCAACTTTCCGATGGTGTATTTCATTACTAGAGCTTGTTGGAGCTCAACTTTGTACTTGTAATTTTAGGTATTTATGAAAGGATTTTTTACCATTTTTGAAGCATTGAGATGTTCTACATTTATGGTAAATCAATGATGTTTTTATTTATAGGAAACATTTGATATTGCTGTTTAACTATTGGCGTTGAAGATTTTTAAGATATGAGAAGGTAAATGATACCTTTGAATTGTTCGTGATGCTATGATAAAATCTTGTTATGACAAATATTGCTTTGGTGTAAAGATGCGACAATAATTGGAAATTGTTGCTAGAATTTGTTTTATTTTATTTTTTTTTCAAACCTAGATTTTTTTGCATAGATTGAAAGTATAATGTTATTGTCTATCTATTTGCTTTGCCTTGTAATTACGGCTTTCTTTATGTGAATAATCTTTGTCGGTTTTCTATATTCACTAACATCTGATTTGACATACACAGAGCTATTGACGGTTCACTCATACTTAATGATATTCCTGGAATTGCTCTTCGTTTGCCTCCACTAGTCAAAAAGGTACTCTTGATTATATATTCCTTAGCTGCATAATAAAAGTTTGTTTGAAATCTCATTTTATTCCAGCTCTTGGTTGATCGTTAGGTGTATAGTTGCAAAAAAAGTAAACCCAACTGCAAATATGGTGTAATTTATTGTTGCTTACGTGGTGAGATCAGAAAAGGGGATAGAAACTCCTATTTTGAGTTATATCAATTAACATGGATCAGTCTTTCTGACAATTCATGCCATTGGTTTTTTGTTTAGGATATTTGATTGATTCTTCACAAATTCTGGAATATTAGTTTTTTTTTTTTTTACTGTATACCCTATCCTTGTTTAATGAATATTGATTTATTATGTTTTTAATGCTTCACATCAAAGCACATGCACCATATTCCCGTGATTTTTGAGTGTTAATCAGTTGAGTCTGCCGTATTAAAAGGTCAGTTTATTAGAGAAATTAAAATTAATTAGCCACGAACAATTTTCTTGTTAATTTTCAGTTTAAAGTATTAACAAAGTAAGTTATGTAGATTTGATGAATTTCATGATTACTGTTTAAAAGGTGATTTTAACGTGCTTTCAGGTTTTTTACATAGGCTGGTTTTTTAGACAAGTTTGAGGGTGCAATAGCTTTCTCAAAGGGAAATAAAACAGCACTGTTGGGGCAAAAACAATTCCTTTCTTTGTTCATTTTGATTTTATTGAGATCGGAATGAAATCTTGTTTTTATTTTAATGTTAGTCGGGTCAAGGAGACTAGTATGGCGGGAAAATGTAAAATGAGGATCTATTAGTAGTGGTGACATTGAACGAGAATTTCCATACAGATTCACAAATAAGAGTTTTAGGAGAAAACAGTTAAATCTAGACTATTATAATGACAAATACGACAAATTGATTCAGAAAATGGTGACAAAGAGAACTTGCAACAAAGAAATCACAATGCAAATTGTGTTTCCAGTTAAAACTCACCGCCTTCTCACATTTCTGGTTCTGGAAACTTCGTTTAGTCACCAAAACCAGCCTTTTACTGGACTATAAGGAGTTGCAGTGTAACAAAACTGCACTCGAGCAACATCCAATGATAATTTCGGGGGAAAGTTTCTTTTTGTGGTGGTGGATCTTTACAACTTCAAGATACTCCGTTCAAAATTGATTTCTCTGTAAAGGTTAATGGTTATAAATAGATTAGTTTCCTTAATATGAATGATTAAAAATGTGTTCAAGGCATCCGCCTCGAGGTGAACCTCGATTTGAGGTGCTTAAGTAGCGACTCAAAGCTTAAGCCCCACTATTGCGGGCGAGGTTATGCCTTTTTGCAGTGAGGCATATGCTTCTCAGACGTTTATGCCTCGAATCGAATAAGGCGTCGAAGCAAATTATCTAATATGAATTTGAACCATCAACCATATCAAGCAAATTAGGCTTGGACCATCATTTCGAGAGTTTCGTTGCTTTTTCCTCGCGCTTCATTTCGAGCCTTTGAGTGCATTTGCATTAAAGAACCGTCTGATCGGTGAAGTCCAACATTGTCCCGAATGTCAAAGTCTAGCGTTAAAGGCTTTTGTGTCTTCATTGTCCCGGGCCTTTTATGTCCTGAGCGTTGAAGTCCAGTTTAAGGCTTTGTTGGCTGTTATTTTTGAAAAGGATGTGATTTTTGTAAAATATGAAAATAGCTTTGATGTAAATATGTGATTTTTGATTTTTGAAAGTAATATTTTAATCTTGAAAATAGATGAGACCAAACGAGTCTCACATATTGAATAGTTTGAATGGATGAACGCGATACTACTACAAGTAATACACTTTCCCGAAGGATGAGCATACCACTTGATAGTAGGCTCAACCACTAGACTTAACCACATAAACTAAGGATTTTTGTGACATCCGTTTGGTCTGCAAAATCTTTTATAAATGACTGACAAACCCCTATAGTTAATTACATCTTAAATGACTGGGGTCACTTATGAAGACTCTCGATTAGGATAAGTGATTTTGCCTTCCAGATTTCAAAGTTTAGGTTTCCAAGATTGGACACAGGAAAATCGAATGAGAGTGGTTCAAATAGGAACAATTATTTTAAGAGTAGGAGATATCATAGATCCAGGAGAAACCCTGATGACTTCCCAACTATCCTATTGTTTGACTTTATGTCTTTGAAATGATGTTATTCAATGTTTAATCCTGCAATTTACTTTAGAATTTATGACTTACATTCGCACGATATCCGATCTATCTGATCGTACAAATGACCTAAAAATATATGAGGATTTACACCGTATCGTACGGTAACCTCAGAATCCTAAAAAGTGTTAGTACTTATAATTGCATAACAGGGTTGTACAAAAGTCTAAGGATAATATGTGAGGAATCATGTTGCGTTAAGCAAATTACCTTGAAGTCCTATGGGTTGTTATTTAAACTAAGAAAAATATTTACTTGACGTGAACTTGTTTTGATGTTGCAGATCCATCTTGAAGTTGCTTTTTTGTGTGTCATCGTCATGCTGCCCACGGTATTCGCTCCAAGCTCCTCGTCGTAGCACCTTCGGATTCGATGTTAATTTTAAAGGTACATGCAATTGTTTAATCAACGATCTGCTGCCGGGTACCTCCTATGAAACCAACTACTGACCTCCTACTCTAAGGTATAGTGTGTAAAAGGAACAGTAACTGGTAACTGGTACAAGTATGATGACAAAATTTAAGAAATGAGCTAACATGCATTGTATCAACAAAAGAACTACCTCCTAAAAAACTCAAGAAAGAGCGACGAGTGACTCACGACGAAAATATCGAAGTAACAACAATAAATTATAACTTAAAGAAAGTCACCGAAAACACAAGAAGATCCAAGAAAAAGACCACGAGTGCTTTACCAAAAGTTCCAATAAAATCCGACGAAAAATTCGAAGAAAGAAAATTGCAAGTACTCGGGTCGGGGCTAGACTCAGATATTATATATTTGTACTCGATGGACGTCGAAGACTACTATCGGTCACCCGGATGTATAGAGCCGTGACTCAATTAGAAGGGTGCCCTACTAAACCTAACTTAGGAGGGTACTCCTTAGCCCAATACTGATAATCGACAAGTGGACAATCAAGTTACAATACATTTAAAATTTATATTTTAGCATGCACATGAATTTCAGGCATACAAAAGGAAGCTGTATCAATTTTATAGTAAAAAATATTTTATAAATATTGCATCTTTTCTTATCATATCTGTTCTGATCAATTAGTTAGGATTGCCCACGAGACGATCACACCATCATGTGTAGGACCGCCAACAACCTAAGAAGGTACGGGTCCTCCGCTAGTCTTGTGTCGGTGAATGATATTATCATCCTACAGTTCATCAGGTTCCAGGATTGGGTCCTGATGTCGTAGGATGGAATATCATTTCACTCTACTACCGGCGTGCCTTTATCATCACCGCCCTAAGCCCTAATACAAAACCGACCTAATTGCAACATTACTTGATGGTTCATATATAGCAAAAGGCTATATATGTGTTTATGCATCGTGATGGTTCATATATAGCAAAAGACTATATATGTGTTTATGCATCAGACATAAGCACCAAAAGCCTAAACCAAAAAGCAAGGAAAACAAACCAGAAATCAAGAAATGAGATAGAAAAAAGACCAACCCTTCTCCAAAACAAATTTTAAAAAAGCTAAAGCGGCAGGAGGGTCAGCCTAAAATATCTGACTGGCGGGACTTTCTCGAATGAGTAAAATAGGTGAAATACATTCTCCATGCTAACCAAGAATGACCCCGAAATGACTAATTTAGAGACCTCCAAGCCATTTCCAAACTTTTCCCAGATATCACAAGGGATCCCTCTCCTCTTTTCTTTCTCTTCTTTTCTTCTTCATCTCTTTTTTTTTATTGCAATTAATTTGGTCCGCAGGATTAGACCTCAAAACATCTCCAGACATTCCATAGATCATCCACCAAAAGGGGACATTCAAATTCTTCCAAATACCAAGAATTAAAATATTTCACCTCATAAACATCAAAGAATTGAATTCCACTTCAAACCGAATGACTAAGAGGGCAAACCGAACCCAAACATACACCTTACAAGCTCACGGGTAGGGACAACCAAGAGACTACAAATTGGGAAGACTTACTGCTAGGAGCAGCCATGGGAAGACACCAGCCCAACACCGAACGACAAGATCAAACCGCAGCCCCTAACTAGGCCAAAACCCAGCCACAAACAAACCAAAACCAAGCCCAAAAGCTGCAGCCCAACTCCCCACAACAGGCTCAAACTACAGTTAAAACCTCACCGAAACAGGGCCAATCCGCAGCCCAAAATCTCGCCAAAACAGGACCAAATTGCAACTCAAAACCTTGCCAAAACAGGGTCAAAATGCAGCCCAAAACTTCACTGAAACAGGGCCAACTGCAGCCCCAGAAAACACTGAAATCATGCCAAACTGTAGCCAAGAAACCACCCCAAAACCTGCAGCGAAACCACCCAAAACCATGGTAAAACCGCAGCCCAAAAAGCTATCAAAGTCTCTCCTGAACAGGGCAGAACTGCAGCCCAAAAACAGCTCAAAACAAGTCAAGAGAGTAGCCCAAAAAGCTATCAAAGTCTTTCCTGAACAGAGCAGAACTACAGCCCAAAAGCAGCTCAAAACAAGTCAAGAGAGTAGCCCAAAAAGCTATCAAAGTCTTTCCTGAACAGAGCAGAACTACAGCCCAAAAGCAGCTCAAAACAAGTCAAGAGAGTAGCCCAAAAAGCTATCAAAAACCTCTCCTAAACGACAGCAAAACTGCAGCCCAAAAAACAGCTCCAAACAAGTAAGAAAGCAGCCCAAAATCTGGCCAAAACATCGCCTAAATTTGCATTTAAAAGCCCCCCAAAATTACGGTGATTTCAGCCCACCAAAATATATTTTTAAAAGCTCTAAACTGAAGCCAATTCAGCCCATAAGACAGGCTTTTAAAATGTTCCAAATAGCTTGCCAAAATCAGCCCATGCAATTAAATTATTC